TCATTCGTAGCAACGTGAGCTAAAACTTGCCACTAAACAGTGGCGAACTAGCAAAAGCTTCTAAAACTGCGGTAGAAAGAAAAGCTCTGTGTTGACCACCTAATTCTACCATGAAGGACCCCCGGTCATTAAAATCATATTGTCAATTTCCTACTAGCAAACTGATATCCTTGAGTTTGCTGATTTGACAAGTACACCTTTAAACTACAGTAAATGTATTTAAGACAAACCTAAACCTTCCATTGTAATTTACTAAGCTTACCCATTCAAGTACCCTCATTATCCAAAGCAGTAGACACCTAAGAAAGCAGCTGAAACATCACAAACTGCACAAGAAACAGAAAACTCAAGTTTCTAACATGTAGATAAATAATAAGAAAACTAACCTGGATTACCAACGTATACAGGTATTTACTGCAACGCACTTTAAACTTAACATTTTCAGGGTTCTTCTTAATTTTAACTGACTTCGCATCTTTCCTCCTCGCAGTTAAAAGAAACTCTTTAATTTCTGTCATCTGTTTCGGCATTCTGATAACACCTTAAAAAAGTAGTGACTGTTTTACAGGCAAAAAATATTTTTCAACCGGTCAGTAAACAGCACTTCTGTCAATAACGAGTCAAATTTTAAGCACTTTTTTCTGAATTACACCAGATATATTCAGAAAACCAGTTTTTTTCTGAAGTTTTAGCGAAAATGTCTGCTACAGATATGAAGTCTCATTAATTGTCTTATTCAAGACGAATGCAATACAAAATTCAGCCAGATACTTCCCAAAAAACTCCTGCTTGCAGCTATGTTCGTTTGAACAAATACGAAGAAAACCAAAATGGAACTTTTATAACTGGTGAGTGTGTATCTAATACAGCCCTAATAGAACTGAACATGATTTTTTAACATCATCATTCTCGAAAAAAAGCCAAATTCTTTCACGTTTGTGCAGTCAGGAATCTCAAGCAGTCTAAGACAAATTTCACCAGAGAACAAAGTGCCAGGCGGACTCCTCAATTAAAAAAATATCAACAGTTAAAACGCCGATACAACAACTGAGGACGTCGTCATTAAAGCCTCAGCTAGCAGCAGCAATGTCTTTGAATACATACGAGAAGTACAGAGGCAACAAAAACTACCGAACCTTGCAATATATATACCAAAGAAAAAAAAAAAACTAGACCTAACCATAAAATGCAATTTTCGCCTCGATAACAAATGCCAAAAATTTAGGTTGCCACAGTACCTCTGCAGTTTTCAGCTAAGAACCCGTTTCTTTAAAGCCATACTGATTACAGCGCAAAATCGCGCTCTGTTATTCGTCGATTTTCTGAGCGGCAAAATTTCATGGTTATCTTGAGGTTTTCAGTAGAGTTGTTAATTCAGCATAATCGGGTAAAAATGGTTCTTCAGGAAACAAGAAGAACTATTTTAATCAGAACAAAGATCTCGTGGAAATGTTAGGGACAGGTAAATTTAAAGGTTCTTACTCCACAAAATGAAAGGATGTGGAGAGCAGGTAGAACGTAGAAAAAATCTTGAATAAAGGACGGTATGAACTTTGAAATTAAATTGCTAACTGTTTTTTTTGGATGCTTTCTCAATTTCTAAACGTAGAAGTTGCATTATCAGTTTAAAAAAGCTGCTCAAATAAAAAATTGAAAGTTCATTAGCCGCTTTCCCATTGGAGCAGCCATGCGTTCCAACAACGCTGAATTCTTGAGCATTAGCCTAGAGCAATGGTAAAACTAGCGAATATTTGTTGCATTTCTTGGGCAAGTTCTATTTATCAATCAAATTTTTAGCTGTTCTTACAGGTGTTTGGGGCTGTGATTTTCAGTAAATCACGAAATTCCGCTAACTTTTGCAAAAAGTACTTCTCGAAAAGCATAATAAACTAAAGATGGCTGTAGTTCAGATCCATCTGGCAGTTTGAAGTCTCATGTGAAACTTTTTTTTTAGAATTTACAAAGAAAGAAGGATAATTTTTAGATAAACGCGATAAGATCTGGTGTATACGACAAATGGTTCACAAAGAATGTGATCAAGTGATCAAGTGAAGGGTTTGGCCACATTAGATTTAGCAAAAAAAAGCTTTTTGAAAGATAATAAAAAAAGATTTTTTTTTTTCTGCGAAATCTCGCCATGGGTACGTCTTCTTCAGTTAAAAGGTTCCAATTATCATTGTATTCAGGATCAACGCAATATGGGAATTGCTAAAACACTTTTAAGCACTTCTCTGCCGCCATATTCGATATATCCATATGAAAAACGACAAGATAGGACTTTTACAACTGTGATCCACACAGTCCTAGTAGAACAAAAAAAAAAA